TTTATGCCTAGCGTCAGTGGCATCATTAGCAGCCATTGAAGCAAGACTAAATCGAACAAACGATAAATTTAATTTACTGTCGCATCAGTCGTACGCCCACTGCCTTCACCTCATTACCAATGTAGTTTTGTATGTGTGAGCGCACACATATACATATACCTCGTGATTTGCGTACCGTTTTAACTGCTGCAACCGCTGCGGCATATAATTATCAGTTTTGCTGATAATTGAATTTTTTTGTCGCTCCATCATCTCAGCAACTCTGCTCACCGCACTTAACTCCAAACCAATTAATTCAATTGGGAAAACTCTGGCATCTATCGGCGGCTTATTGCTTCTGCGAAATACTCTCGTTGGTATTTTTATGCGATTTAAGCGCACCGTTTTCTAATAATCGCATAATTTGTCTTGTCTGTTATGCGCTTATCAATAATGCTATGCGCTAATGCTTCAACCTCATTATATTAATTGATTGATTGCAAGGAAAAGGATAATGACATATTTACTTATGAATTGAATTGAAAGGGGTAATACTTTATTTTAGCGTATGCACTAATGAAAATTTAATGAATATCCAAAACCGGAAAAGATGTAAAAGTGCTCTACTTAGAATTAATTCTTAGTATCTCAGTTAATCTTCTATGAATTCTCATAATGAAAAAGTGAAATTACAAAGTTTTTCATATTATAATCTTCAGAAATTTGGTTTGAACGCAACCTCGAAATGAAACCCGCTTGTAACGAACAGGCTTACAGATTCTTAAGTGCAAACCACCATGCTTGTAGCTTGAAATGAAATCAAGCATCGTAGCGGATTTGTGATGGTTTAACGCCACTTTGTCGATACTTAAGAGCTAAGCTCAATCTAGTTGAGGGTTTAACTATGCAAATGTTATTTTCTTAGATCCACCTTAAAAGCTTAAGGTAATTAGCAAATAGGCTCTCAGGCTTCAGTTCTCTAAGAAAGGTATATTAGTTTACAAATTTGCAAGTATTCGAGTAGTTTTAAACCAAAGATTATACTGCGTATTTACTATGCACATTCACTTTTGATGTACAGGTTAGATCGAAAATATATTTGTATAATAGATTTTTATATCAGGTTTATAATATAACTGTAGTATGACTAAATACAATACGCCCATTTGAAGCTCTTACATTGCTTCTTCTTTCTGGCAATTTGTGGATTCCACCCCAAAAAAAAAACAACGCTCAAGAATGAATCAAGCCAATTTTTGATACCTTGTACTGATGTGAACCGTATTCCAGTGAGGGCATTCTGCATCGACCGGAACACATGGTAGTCAGTAAAGGCAAGGTATAGGCAATAAATCGGGTGAGGCAAAACTTCCCAGCCGCTGTGTTCCAAATTATGTTTGATCGATTATATTATAGCCTGGTGTCTAGTCGCAAATTTTGGACGTTTTTTTGGCAATCACTCGCTTTAATTTTATGTTTTGTTGTCGTTAGTGTTCCCCATTAATAGTTTCAGCCGGCTTTAGAAGCTCATAATACAGCATGTCCTTCTGATATCACCAAATACAGAGCATTACCTGAACAATATTGGTATTCGACTTTGGCGCTGTTTTGACTTTTTTTAGTAGCGTTCAAGCAGCATTTCTGACATGCAACATCCCTTGGCTTATATTCGGTTACTTTTAAACGTTTTGAAATGCTTGCCTTAGTGAGGTCCTGCGAACATTTCTTGTATTTGGAAATAATCTTCATCGACTAATGTATCCGTTTCCTCATCTTCAAACTTAAATGACCGGCCCGGACGTTCTTCGTCTTCAAAGCTGAGATTACCGTTTTTAAATTGTGCAAACCACCTTTAATAAAGAGCTCCCCGTAAAAATACTTGCAAAGGCAAAAAATTGAACATATTTCAGTGGAAAAAAAAATTAAATTCTTTTTACGCTTCATATATGTATGTAAATGATATATACTGAAGAACGACGCACACGGTCAGTAGCTTTCCAACACATGCTCGGAGTATTGGACAATGGAATAAAAATTAATTTTCCACCATCTCTTGCAAACCGCGGGATTATATTTATAGACCCAATAGTGTGGTTGAAAGTGATGATTTATTCACAATCTCAAATTTTCGACTTTTTCACATAATTCTAATAAAGAGAAAGCTAGAAACATGCCCAATAAAGTATTTTATCGACACTATCAACTAACCGCGGTCCGGCTGACTATACATGTCGCTTAGTCCGTAGTGTTTCTCTGACAAATTACTACAAAAGATATTCGATATCTGTAAATTGTTGTTGATTTAGTGAAAGAATGCTTCGACTCAAGCCTTTTTGAAGATTTTTTTTTTACATTTTTTACAGTTTTTTTTAGTTTGAAAACAAAATCTAAAAGTGTTATTTTTTTAAATCGCTGTCATTTTGTCAGACTATCTTTGGTAATATGCAAAAAAAAAAAGCTCGTCTCTGGTCATAACTGGAGTATAAATATTAAATGTAAAAACTTTCTTGGGTTTTATAAGTCTTAAGCTGAATTCAATCACTAAGTCGACTACGTCCCTCTGGCAGTTTTGCATTCAAGGATGCATAAAGGGCAATGTGTTTTTTCTTTCCTATATCCTTGTTTTTTCATGAAAGAAGAGTGTCTGCAAATATCATGTGTAGTCTTTTTGGAATCCACCATTAAAAATCGGTCCGAAATTAGGGCGCGAAGGTATACTACCCTGTTAAGAAATATTTCTGAATCCCAATACTGTTTTTTTTTTTGCATAGCACGAAAATGTATTTGTGTAATTCATTAAATGTCGATTTCTAATTTTTTTTTTAATAAAACCTAAAACAGCATACCAAACAAGCGAAACTCTGGTCATTTTGAAGTTTAAACTTTGTTTTTGATTTAAATATGTATACAGGATACAAGTTGCTTAAATATAACAAGGGCTTATAAACGTAAACTTAAATAACTTAATGTTATTGTTTCACCACTCTTTATGATAAGGTGTAATTCCATAATAAAGCTTACAAATACATAAAACAACAGCTTGCAAACGACTTGTTTCGATGGAAATGCCATGGGTGTTGGCATAGGTAGACGTGTGATTTTCAATGAGGCAATCATTTTTTCCTAGTTTGTCTTTTTGACATCTGTTATTCAGTTTATACATAGTTTGGTTTGTCATTTCATAATAAACAGCCTTACTCTGCAACAAAGTTTGCGAATCTTGCAAATTTGTTAGCAAAAGAATGGTTCGGTTTGTGCGGCGCATCGCCCAATTTTCTGTCGACTAGCAGAGTCTGTAATGGTAACATGGATATATTTCGCATTGACCCTGGTGGATAATGCGAATCCCCAGAGATGCCGTACAGTGTGCACGGAAGACGCTATTGTTGCTGTGGAGCAGAGTATCGCAGAAGACCCGAATGAGTCAATTCGGCATCGCGCATACCAATTGGAGTTGTGCCCAAACACTTTCTGGCAGATTTTGTAGAAGATCTAACTCGTGCAATAATTGAAGCGAAATACTCATCAAGCGCGTCTTAAGACCAGTGAATGGGCTTAAAACGAGATAGCCACTAATCCTGGAAAAATTTTGTTCAGCGATAGGCTCACTGTCGGTTGAAAGGGCACGTTAATAAAAAAAATGGTCGCATTTGGAGTGATGATAATCCCCACGTCAATATTGAGACGGCGTCACGTCCTTAAAAAGTCCCTGTTTGGTATGCTGTATGTGAAGAGGGAATCATTGGTCCATATTTCTTAAAAAATTAAACCGGCCATAATTACAGTCAATGACGAATTTAATAAAGTCACAGTTAATGATTTGTTTGTGCCTGATTAGGAGGAGGTTAATGCGGACAACGTTCCATTCCAACAAGACGGCGCTACTTATCATACGGCCAACGAAATAAAATAAAAATAAAAGTAAATAAAATATGTCCAAATCTTGCCTTAACTTAAATAAAAAAAATAAATGCACATTTAAAAGGTGAAGAAATTTCCAACTTCCCAAGCCAATTTGTCTTGACGCAATTGTAGTTGAACTGAAGCGAACGTACCAGAAATAGATAAAAAAATAAAAAAATTGTGAAAATGCTAACGAAATGCTTAAGTCAATATGGAAGTACACGCATAAAACTTACACACACACACGCACATAAAAGCATGCAGTTGCAGTTCTCACTCAGAGCATTAGTCTCATTGGAAAGTTACAAAAGTTCTCAAAAGTATGCTTTAACGCCAAACTATCTTCAAAACGTCTACGTAAGTATGTATGTTTGTATGTAAGTGAATTGCTACACAACTGCTTGTAGTTGCCATATTTCAGGAACATTGAAGTGTTCACTACATATTTTCAATACGCTGAAATTCGCATTTTTTTTCCTGTCTTTGTTTCTTCTTTTCCTCATTTTTCTTATGAGTTTATTATTATTTTCTTTTTTGGACTACTGTTTCACAATCTTTGTGTATCTTTTAGCTACGCTCCACTTTTAGCTGATTCCTTCACTTTACTTTGGCTATCGAATATCTTAAGAAATAAACTTTTATCATATTTCGCAAATTCAACAATTATCTCCAATTTCTCTCGTACATATTTGCTTAACTAAAGTCTGTTAGGGAGAGTACCTATGTACAACGAGCGGAGCAACAGCAAATATAACTTTGTATTTTTTTTTTTTTTTAAATAAAGAAACTTTATGCTCTATGTTTGTAACAATAAAATAAAGTGTGTAGTTGAGCACACTTGGTTTATATATATTTAATAATAACCCCCCTAAAATATTATATATCTTGAAGCCTCGTGACTGTTGAAACATCGTGGCTGATGGAGTGACAAATCAAGGAGTAAATTTACGATGTCTACTTTTCTAAGCATTGACCGAACTTTTCATATAAGTTTTCAATTAAATGGAAGTAATTTGCTTTCATTAATGTAATGCACATGCCATAATCTAAATTATCTTTATTTCACCCCAACATCTCACAAACTAACAAAAATGTTTATTTTGCTTTTATACTTGCAGAATTTGAAAAATCAAATCATGACGACGAACGTGTGGGTGGAGCAGGTAAATAACGGCACTTACGTATTTATTTAAGTTTTTAATTTTAAAGTTTAAATGTTGCCGACTCGTAAAAATGATGATTTGAAGTTAGTTTCAAAAGCATAAATTATTTGTAGACTAAACACATGCAAGATTACCTATTAATTTTAAGATATTGACCATATTCGAGGAGTTTTTTAAAAATAGCTGCTAGATGCCAGAACACTATTAACATAAAACTTTTCATTTAATGATTTTGCTCAAACTTCGGATATTCGTTATAAAATCAAAGCTACTGATGGTGTTTAAAATTATATTCCTTAAAATAATGTCGCAGTTTGTGATGCCATTGGGCCAATTTCTAAACTGACTTAACTATTATGCTACAAAGGTTGCTTTTTATATTTCGGGATAAGAGAACAAAACCAAATATTAATCACCGAAAATCGCTTTGTTGATTTTCAAAATATTCTCCATAAAGATCTATACACTTTTGCTTGCGTTTGAACCAATTGGCGAAGCAATTTTGTCACTCTGATTGAGGTATCTCCAAAACATACGTTCTGAACGCATCAACCGCCTTTTCAGGTGTCGAAAAACTTTGATTTCTTAGTATTTGTTTTTTTTTACATACCCATCAAATCGATGTTTTGAGTGCTCACAAATGCAATGGTTTTAGTCGTTGTGTGAGAGCTCGCATTGTCGTGGTGCAAAGATTTCTTGAAAGACAACTGAAAAATAAATAGAAGTTTATTACTCAAAATTTACTTTTCTGCATTGTTCTAGTGGTATTGTTGCGATATATCCAGTTTTTCCAAAAAAGCAGAAAACCATTGGCATGAAAGTGCTTCCACGATTCATAAACTGTCACGATGTCATAGACGTGTTTCGAAACACCGCTATCGTATTTTTTTAAATTTTCTCTCAATATATATGAGCAAATTTTCTTTTTGCAGTCAAATGTTCCCACTAATGCTTATAGTTGTCTCAATCTCACAATAGGTCACATGAAGATCTTACAATATCAGTTAGCATGATTTTGTACGATCTTCACGAAATTCGTCTTGGAGTAAACTGCGACTTCAATTAAATTCACCATACCATCGTTAACATTAGTCCTTGATGGAGCTTGACAGTCAAAACATCAAGTTTATTAGTTAAGTTCACCGTTGCACTGTTGAAAGTTGAAAAAAATAATTGCGCGCAAATGTTCGCGATTTAATTCCATTTTTTGACCGAGATGAATATTTTAAGTTACTGTAAACAACACAAATAGCGCTCGTATGTCAAAATGTTCTGAGGTTACCAAATCCCGAAATATAAAAGGCAACGGACGTAAAAATCAAATTTGATGGCTTGAATCGATTGTTAATTTTACATTGCTAACATTAATTAGTTAGAAACCTTTTAGTAGTAGGAGTAAGTCACTAACTGATTGATAACATATGCTTTTACTAATTTGTAAGAATATTCTTATAAAGGACATTTTTTCACACAATTCTAACTACATGTATAGACACCCGCTACACACCAAATATTATTGATTTTTGACCACAAAGTGCTGGATATTCGAAGTATTTTACCTCAATAGTTTTCCACAACTATCCGGCTACCCACTCACTTTAACATATTAACCATGCTCGTAGCTGGAAATCGTTGCTAAAGCACAACATTCGCTTGCAGCGCACGTACTTTTGGCAACGTCTGTGACCATTAAATGCATTCCACGGAAGCAGCGTTGCAGCAATAAGGCTTGATTCGGCGAAATCGGAGGGCACCGCATGTTACGATTCTGCTTACTCTTGTTTTGGCCATTGAAATTTATGTTGCAGCGCAGGCAAAATTGCGCTCAGCCCAAAATTTATTGACGACATGGTCTCTATATATGTTGCTATAGTATACGGGAATTTATTGAATCTAACATGTTGTCCACAATTGCGATATTTGTTCAGATATTCTGATTATCGTTTAAATTAATATCAATACTTTTTACACGCCGAATACAAATGGCTCCTTTAAAAATCCGCAAAATTTCAAACTAGCTGTTCCAGTGTTTCTACTTGCGAAACATCAAATATAATCCATCCAGTTAAACGTCATAATCGGGTTGGTGATAAACGCTCTCAAATTCCAATGAAATGAGAAATGTCCATACATACGATATCACTTCTCTTTTCCATTGAGAAGAGATTAAACAATACTATTGACCCTCTCCAAATAGCAGGGAATACTATACCTATATAATCGAGATTAGTAAAGAATAAAGGTCATCTAGTAATTACCATAAATATAAAGGATTAAAAAATCCTTGGAAAAAGATCTCCATATGCTAACACTGTCTGGACTTCGTAAGGCCTAATGTTGGCATTGCCTGTCTTGCATCTCAGTTCTCGATCTTAAAAGTCAGTTTCAAACATAGGTATGTATACATCCAAACCACTTTCGCAACAATTCAATAGCTCTATGTGACTCTCAAAAAGAACGTATAGAATAGGCATTTCTCTATGTGGCCGTTTGTTCTAAAATGGAAAAAATATTAATGTATATAAAACCTATGTCTACATGATTTTACATACATTAATATGTTTTCCATTTTAGAACTTTTAATATGGGATATCAGTATATTATTAAACCATAACCCTAAGTAATTAAAAAAAATTCAAATATCAATACTTAAAAGATTTGTAGATAAGATATCATTCATCTAAAGCAATGTATTTGATTCTAAACCATTATTAACAAGTAAGGAAGTTCTACGTTCCAGTGTAACCGAACATTTTATACTCTCGCAACTTGCAAGGGAAATTACTTAAGGTGTTGGCAAAATTGTATATTAAAGGAAGTATTGATCCGACTCAACCCATTTTTGACAAAATCAAAAACATACGATTATCGAGAGTTTCATTCATAATTATATGAATTTCAATTATATATCGTACATATTTACCGATATTTTCGGTAAAAAGTCACCTATAGGCACTGGGGTCCACATATTCAGTAGTTCGATTTAAACAATTTTTGGTCACAAAGTTTTACTCCGACACAAACATTGTTGCTTGATTTGCATAGTGGAAAGTGAAGAATAAGTTGGAATTTAAAATGTTGCTATAGGGGAAATAGGCGTGGTTGTAATCCGATTTCACTATAACATAAAAATATGAAAGGAATGTTATGTACCGAATTTGGTTGAAATCGGTTAAGCAGATCCCACGATATGGGTTTCCACCTAAAAGTAGGCGGTGTCACACCCAGATAAACTGCATATGCCCCTCCCTAATGCGATCCTGTATACCAAATAACTGTCTTGTATCTTGTTGTGTTGCTTAGTTATGGCAATTTATTTGTTTTTGATTAATGGCGTTTTGTGAGCGTGGCAGTGGTCGTGATGCCCTTTTGCAAAACCAACCGTCTTACGGTACCAAGAAACATGTGTACCAAGTTCCATAAAGATATTTCAATTTTTACTCGAGTTACAGCTTGCACAGGCGGACGGACGGAAAGACAGTCACCCGGGTTATAACTCGTCTCTTCATCCTGATCATTTATATATACCTATATAACCCTATAACTAACTCGATTAGTTTTAGGTGAGACAAACAACCGTTAAGTTAACAAAACTATTATACTCTGTAGCAACATGTTGGAAGAGTATAAAAATGTATCTGTGTTTCAAATTTAAAATCTTTTGCAGCTAGTAATACTGCACTATTTACAAAACCAATAAATGTATGCTTCACCGCACGCCGGCAATATTGGCATAAAACTTACCAAAGTGTTACATACTTTTTGACTACTGCAATGCTGCTTGTAATAAAACTTATCTTTGGTTATGTGGATCATAGCTTTAAGTTTATTTGATAAAAATTTGTTCAAAATCAATTTACTTCTGCAATCAGAAATTGTGAATATAAAAGATTGTATTGATTAAAAGTTGTGAATTAATTGAAATGAAACAATATCTATATGTAAAATTTTGTATATATCTACATAAATATCTCAATGCACATAAATATCTTTTCTGATATTTCTGATATTAAAAATATCGAAAGCAACTTGTTTTTCATAAATAATCATTACACTTCCATTAATCAAAGATTTAGTATATTGAATTGAAACATTTTCTCAGCAACAAAATGTAAGCAATCAAATCAAAGCTTTTAAACTTTTAAAATGTAAAGAGAACTTTGCAAAATCTTGCACCAGTTACCAACTTAAACAACCTTTTAGCATGAATTCGACGAGTTGCTAAGTGGTAAATAGAAGCATAACCACGGTCATAAATATGCAAAGCTATCCAAATGGGCTCAATTGGTATTTCCAGGCTATCTACTGTTGAATTAAGCGAAGTCATTGGATGGCTGTTTTATAAAGCAGCCGCGACAATGATGAGCATAAAAGTTGAATGCTTAGCGGTTGCTAACAGAACAAATACAAGTATTCTATCCACTAGTTATATGAAAAATGTAGCTTACTTTTAAGCGAAATAGCATAATTTATGCAGCTTACCCAGAACAGGGCTGCTATTTGCCAATATAAAATAGCCAAACGGCAAACTCGACAAAATGTGCCCCGTACAAAAGAGCTAGATTGTGGTGAGTGAGAAGTAAACTCGCATATCAGGGTATAACTATCAGTAGAGAGGAAGCGTGGAAATGCGAATTTCGCTAAAGGGTAGTACAGTTGGAAAGTCAATGAATTTGTGGGAAACTCAACTATGAGCAACCAATATCACCAACAGCTGCCGCAAGTTGCCACTGCCACAGGCGTTGGACGTTACTTATACGTAACGGAAATGGACATCCGCACTATGCAGCATTGGCGTTGTGTACACAAATTGGTATTGACTGCATTTGAGCGCTGCAACAGTCGCTTGTATATTGGTGTTTATTTGTGGGCGTTGTCGAATATGTTCCTGCTCAGCCAAGCGGTGATTCAAATATTTTGCTGTTGCATGGAAATGCGTTTTGTACCGTTAGAAATGTGTACAACAGTGATTTAATATATTTTTTTAGACAAAGTATTATATTATTTAATATGCGTTAAAGAAAGCAAGCTGCTTAATACATTGCATAGGCCAAGTTACCAACTGCATATTTTTGCATAGTAAGTGAGGTTATGTCATTTTGTCACACTTGGTATTAAAAGAAACTGACAAACAACTTTGGATTTAGCGAGTCGATCTTCTGAAAGGAGTTCAATTTCAGATTTCACCCCACAATTTCGTTACTAAGCTTCGAAAAAAGATGTAATGATAACTTAAATAATTGAAAACTTAATAGATTTCATTTTAGTAAAACCGGACTGAGGTTTCCTTAAAAATGTCTCGTCCTTGACGTTTTTTAAAGCGTGTTGTATTAATGTAATAGGAACAAAATATTATAATTCAGGAATGCTAAAGAATTGTACATATTACTGTACTGTAATAGCATAAGATGTTTATGAAAATCTTTGATAACGGTTTCGACGAACGCCCGCTCTCATGAGGAACACTTGGTTGCATACTGCTTAGGCAACAAGCCACCAAAAAATATATATCAGGCATATCAGGCTCTTATCGATCTCCCATACGAAAGATAAACACTTAGTCTCTCCGTCCTTTGGCGATATTGGCGCAAGAGAAATTTATTGTCGTTTAATGGATTTTTTGTATTGTAGATCGGCCTCGCAGTTTTGTTTGGACCGCATTTGAAAGTGGACGTGTGTGCGAATTTTATAAAAATAGAAAAAAAGCAACATCGGTAATTTGTATGGCAGCTATATGCTATAGTGATTCGATTCGAATAATTTCTTCCGAGATTATACCGTTGTCGATACTAATCCGTGCAAAATTTCTAAAAGATATCTCGTTCAATGAAAAAGTTCTCCATAGAAGCACTTGATAGTTCGCGTATATATCGAAGAACAGACGAACATGGCTAAATCGACTCAACTCGTCATGCTGATTATTTACATAAATATTTTATAGGGTCTTCCATGTTTCCTGCTAGGTGTTAAAAACGTCATGGCAAACTTAATAACTTCGTTCAGGGTATAATAAACTAGATATGTTGCAAAGGAAATCGTCAATTTTTCAAAGTTTTCGTTTTATTTTTGTTTGCTAAATACTGTTATGAGACCAAAACTATTATAATTCTTACAAAAATATAACATTAAGTAAAAGTTTTACATCTGTAGGGGCATCATGTTTAGTTTTAATACTAATTAAGTTTCAATAATAAACATAAATATCTGTTCTGAAGTGTATGGTAAACCAAGTAGTTGAGTTCGTATCGAACATTCTAATTTTAGATCTATCGAACGATAACTTATAAATTATTATAGTGTTCGTCCTTTACTAAAGTATTTCATTCTTTTGAACCTTGTTTGAGATATCTAAACATTCATGAAGCTATATTTAGACGTAGTTATGGTACCTAGGCCGAAAATTCAGCGGTATGTATTTAAGTGGCCAACTAATCAAATTACAGCACGAACGCATTTCATCCATACGTTAATATCAGGCGATCAACCTACACTCGCGGCAATGAAACGAAAATGGATAAATAAGCAGATTCGAGTGAAACTGAAAAGCTACTTGTTTATTACTATATATATATATACATCTATATAAACAAAAAGTTGACAAACGAACATTGTCATATAAATTCAATTTCACTGACAGAAAAACAGGCGAAACGAAACACTAAAGGTACGTACATACGTACCGTCCAAATTCATACAAATTGAAGTGGATGAAAATGAAGTGAAAGAGAAGTACAAGTTAAATAAAATTAAGTGAATTTAAATGTGATGCAATCAGCTTAGTACAAATTGAAGTGGAGTGCAATGGCAATGAAGTGTGCTGCAAGTGCGGCCAAATGACAGCGTGCAACAATTATTGCAACAAACTGTAAATTGTCTTTCAATTATTCCACTATTTGCGCAAATTAAGAGTAAAGGTAGTGACAGCAAAGGCGAGCGAGGCCGAGAGGGTGAATGAAGGCAAAAACAAAATAAAAACGACGAAATTGGAAAATAAAGGGTGAGTTGTTGCAAATTTAAAAATGTACTGAATTGTTGCAAGCCTAATTGACCGGAAAATATTTCAATCGAGTAAACGTATACTTCCGGGTTCATTGTTTTATTAAGTGGTTGGAAATTGTATTTAAGTGTTGCTTTTAATATATTTCCGCTAGGCTGAACTCTTTTTTAATTTTTAAATACATTCTCTTTAGGAAAAAAATGCGTATATACGTAAACGATTACCAAGGAACTTTTTTTGAATAATGTCAAATTATCTACATATGTATTTTAGTATAGTTTTATAGCAGCTAAATTATTTTTGAGCAGTATTGCCATGCATAAAAAATTTTAATTTAACAAAATAAGCCAATTAATGCAAACCGGATATGCAGTTTATGAGAACTAAAGCAGCTCACACTTAAAAACGTTACTGATAAAGGTTGCCACCTTTTTTAATATGAAATAAAATGTATTAAACTATTGTACTTAAATATTACAAAACAGCAATGAAACTAAAAAGGTTTCAGAAATATTTTATACAATTATTTTTGTAAGAGCTGCCACCTTTTTTAAACGGTAATGCTGAGTAACTTCACAACATAAAAAAACAATATTATCTGCGCATTAAACTTAAAATAGTTTCAAGAAAAGTAGGCATTGCATTTTTTAAGGGTTGCCACCTGTTTGAACACTTTAGGTCAGTAAATTAAAAAATAAATACACCAAAAGTTTAGTATTTTGATATAGAAATTATTTAAGAAGTCTTTTTATAAATTTTAAGCTAAGAAGACTGAAGGAATTCTTGAAAGCCTAAAATTTAATATTTTAACCCGGTTACCTTCTGGTCAAAATATCAATATTTGAAGATACATACATATGGTAAATAGTTTTTATAGTTTTTTATAATATGCAAACTGATTTTAAAACAAAAAATAGTTTTGAATAGTTGCCACCTATTTGCAAGGGTATATTCAATAAAAAAATTTAACAAATTCAATATTAGAATTTTGCTAAGAAGTGCACATGAATTATTACAAATATCTCATTTAATTTTCATAATAGGTTAATCAGACTGCTACAAAAATATGTTTAAAATATTAAAAAAGTCTAATTCTGAAAGACTTCTAGTATTCAGGACACCTGAAAAATGCTAACTAATAATATATTATATTTTGTAGGAGCCATTTTTCCTCTAAAATTTTCTCTTTAGGTAATTTAAAAAATGGATTCGCTTGCTAGAAAATTTGACACAAAAAATATCAAGACAGAATGCTTCATTCTATATAATTGGTAAAAATTATTGAATGAACTATTTTCTATTTCTTGTACATATTTTGGATCAAACATTAGTAATTCAATTGACGAATCAAAGAACAAACCGTTCATGAGCAAGTAAAAACTATGAGATGTCATAGTAATGAGACTTTACAAGAATGGATTACAATTTGTCTCCCACTCTCTCTTTTCCACTATTTCTTAATATTAGTAAAATATGAAAGCGTTTTCCATATATAGGGCATACTTCTATGCAATCTAACACCAAAAAATATATGTCTAAGTGATCAGCGTGACCAACTGAGTTCAGCTGAGTCCCTCAGTTCTTGAGATATCGCTCTGAAATTTTGTACACATCCTTTTATCCTGAAGAATTTATTCATTTGTCGAAATCGTCCTTATCAGAACACTATAGCCTATAGCTGCCATACTTTTTCATTTGGCAAGATATTTTAACGAAATGTGGCATGTATTTTAACCCAATTCTACAATATCTGAATACATTTTTCAGATAGGACTAATCTATATGATAAAGCTGCCATACAAATTAACTGAACAAAATCAAGTTTTGTATGGAAACTTTTTTTTTTTATTTATGAAGGGTATTTTAGCTTCAGTGCCATAGAAGTTAACGTTTTTACTTGTTTTAATATATTTTTAACTGTTCAATAACATTCAGTTAATTAGCTTCAATTCAAATAGAACGGAGCTAAATATTGATAACAATTCGAAAACAATAATGCATAATTAATTAAACAGTAAGTAGCACAAATATTCATTTGTTGTGAATTTATAAATTTAATCATCGCATTATTTATGTACAATAAATTTGTGCACGTGTGTGCACGCATAGAATATTAATATGTGCAGCCAAATAACTGTCATTTGTGCATATTAAAAAGCGAAATTTTTGCAAAAACCTTTTTTCGCATTCCACCTTTTCGAGAGCAATTTGGTTGTCAACGTTTACATGTGTACACGTTGAAATATACATGAAATTATAAATGCTTGCAAATATACATATGTATATATAAATGTGTTGTGTGTATGTATAGATACGTGTGCGTAGTAAACGCGCGTGTTGTCTGGCAATTTTCCTCATTAAGTATCTGTCATCGATAATCATATTTGCGGTTTTACTTTACTCTGTACTTTACTGTGTGTCTAATATTGCTTATGTATTGTTCTCATTATCCCTTCGCTTTTATTTTCGTGTTGTAGGAATGGAATGACTACAAATTAAAATGGAATCCGGATGATTATGGCGGTGTGGATACTTTGCACGTACCATCCGAACACATTTGGCTGCCGGATATTGTGCTATATAATAAGTGAGTAATAAATCCGGAAAAATATCGTATTATTGTTTTAAATTAGCGCTTTTAAATCTATAATTAAATATATATGCAAACAGCTCTTTTATTAAGTGATTATTAATAGTATATTTTATTATACGTATTTAAAGTATAGTTATCGAAAGATCGTAAAGCATGATATACTACAACAAAATTGTATAAACAATAACGATTTGTTAGTTAAATAAGAGCATAAATTGCATGCAACTGCAAAGTGGAGTCCAAGGCACTTTGAAATTTGGTTTTACAATTCTGGTATTATATACCGGATCCTTATAAATTAATACCTCAAAAAATTTTTTATTTAAAATAAAAATTAATATTCGAAAATATATTTTCCTAAATATATATTAAAAAAAAATTACTAGTAACTTTCGCTTTGTAAGTAAATATTATTATAACCTTTCTATGAACCCAACTAAATATGTGATCGCTTTTTAAATCATCAAATCTGATCATGTGATATAACTTCTTAGTATATTTCAAAATCGCTTTATTTCACAACTCATATTTTGCTTAGAAATGTTTCATATCGACCGATATATGCTGTATAAAGCCAATTGAAAGTTTGAAAATCTTATAGCTTATGGGTGACAGTGGTAGTATTGAACCGATTTTTTTCGGCATTACCACATATTATACTCTTTCAATTACATTAAGACAACTCTTATATTGACCGATATATGTGGACGTTCGACTTCAACTGGAAATTCGAAAATCTTTATACTTATTAGAAATATTTATGCGATTCTACTTATATTTGACATACAGGCATAGTTTTATCAGAAAATTACTTTTTCAATATTTCAAAAATATAGCTCACAGATTTGCCGATATTTGCGATAAAAGTTCGCAATAGAAACTGGGGTCCACATATCATATCTGGACGCTTGAGTAGTTGTAGTCAGATTTTGACAATTTTTGAACATCAGGTGACACATCTTTAAGCAATATTCGTACAAAGTTGTATCCCGATAAATTCATTGTTCGTAGAACTCATTTATATGTCTAATTTAACAAAGTAATGCAAATTTACGCCGATTAGTAGCATGAAAGACATGCTCACACTGCTTCACAGAATAAGACAGTCGGTCTGTAATAAAAATTGTCTTAAATTTGCTTAACTCAAACGCATTATTACAGTAATTTCATGATAGTTGAATAAAAAATGTGGCATTGGATAAATAAAATACCTAAAGTAATTGAAAGGACAGTTTGTGAAATATTATAAAACGACCCTCTAAGAAAAAGTTAGAGAAGATAAATATTTTTTCTTGAATATTTAATTTTCATGCACCTACTGAACACTTAATTGAGTTATAATTATACCATAAAGCATTGTTATCACCAAGCATCCTTTGTGCTTACTAATTTTTATATTAAAAACTTTCGAAGGAATTGAAATAAAAATAAAAATAAAATTTCTTTCTACCAAAAAGTTTTCATATCTAAATGAATACGAGTATATAAGAATATTTGGTATAGTATTTTTCGTTTAGATCTAGATTATATTAATTTTTAGAGAGAGAGAGAGAGAGAGAGAGAGTACCTTTTCAACTTTCCTACCGGGTACCTCTAAATATTTACTCTATTCCAGAGTCAATTTCGCGCACTATTAAACAAGTGAGAGTAAGCAGAAATTACAATATAGAATGAGTATTTGTGTGCTCCAAACATTGAGCACATAATCACGGGCAGCAGTAACATAATCATTAATTTAATACGGATGATGGCGACCACCACAAACGCATTGGTGGCCACCAGTTGGTGTTGACCGCCCTTTCTAAATATTGATGAGCAAAATATAAGGCAAATAAAAGAAAACAAATACTGAGGCGTAAAATAAGAATTAAACGAAAAACGCAAATTGTTTCGACACGAAGCTAAAGCAAATTGGAATTTCCGAAATTTCGTACATAAATGCTGGTATACATGTTTGTAGACTCGAATTACAATTAAATGTGTGTTTAATATTATTGTCCGATTTAAGCTAACACAAATTACTGAATGGTTGTAAATGCGTTAAGCTTTTTGAGACATAGCAACTAATTTCCGGTTTTAATATCGGTTTATACGTGCAGAAAAAAATTGGCTGTAAAGATTTCATGTAATGAACATTGCTTTCATTTTCTAAAGAATATCATAATGTGTGGGTTTGCGCTTCCAAACAAATTTTATTACGCAATTTGTTATGATTGTACTAAGACTAGAATATCATTTTTCCAAATGCCTATGTAATTTATTTATGAAAAAAGATGTATATGAACTCGATAAATTAAAATTGTTGTCGGACAATCGTTCCCTTAATTTCAATAGAATATCTTGGTCACTAACCGAAATATTTACTTCAAGGTGTTATATTCACTAAATTTTTTTAGAAGGGAAATTTTTCTTACAATAATTTAAACATGTACATTTACAGAATTAAATTTTTTAATTAATCGGAAACTCGTTTTAAAAAAAAATTTGAATTTCTTAATGCCATAGCCGACATCCACGAAGACCACCGAAAAAAGGTGTCTGGCGGAAGATATGTCTGCTTAAAATAATTTCAAATCCGAAATCCTTAAAAAAATATGATTACAATAGCAATAGAATACAGGTAATCAGCGAAGGATCAAAACGCGTGGAACGATTTACCTGGGTGTAAAACTGCAAAAGTCATGTGTTAAATGGTAGATCAGAAATATACAAAGTTCTTACTGCCACTCAATAGAAGGGACTGTAGGAATATGATTGGAATACTTCACTGTTCATAGTCTGGTGGCGGCACACGCCTGCAGAATGACGTTGACAGTTCGCAAAAACTGAAATTGAAATAAGCGCCATCTAAAGGATGACTACGTGCTTCATTAGTCTACCAGACTAACCTAACCTAACTTTAAATTGCTAAAGGATCTGCAAGTGCCGCTCCATAGTAAGTAGGCGTAGTTTTGGTGCAGTTGTTACCACTTTTAGACTGTTATAATGAAGTACCATGGGTAGAAATTTGATTATACCAATGTGTGTACGATTAAGCAGACTGTAGATATAAACTTTTAACTAAAAGTGGTGCATAATTCAATTTTTTTTCCTTTTTTTATTAAAAATAGCTACTAAATGGAAGGCGGAGGTGGCTATTTTCTGATTATCTTCATTTTCATGTGGTGGTAGTCAAAAATTTCAAAGGTCAGATTCTGCTCTTTTACAAAAACAGCACCATTATTTTGATGACATTTAACCAATTCTTTTAGTGTTTAACATGTTGAAAATCGTTGGGTATTTGTATTAGAAAATTTGCCAATAAACTCATTAAGAAACTGACATTCTAGAGATAAATAGAAATTTTATTTCAAATATATGTATAAAGGAGTACCACATCTTCCTCGTGAAAATGCTTATATTTAGTGAAACAAAATTTCTTATTGGGTTTAGATTTTTTATAACAAATCGAAATAATTTAACAATCCGATATTTACGCTTAAAATTCTGTACATGCTCATGCATTTAGAATATGCAAAACAAATTGTATGCAACAATGATTATAGCTAGAGATAAAGCATCATTTAACACTCTGAACCGCATTTTGAAATAACGGTGGATTTAAGAAAAGCTGCATGCAAATTCAGCACTGTGCATGATTTAAAAATGACATAAATCTAAATCAAAATCTTCATAATACACCAGCTCACTTTAGTTAGCATCCGAAACGCTCACACTTGCTACCAAGCAAAGAGCATTTATCAGCTCTCCAGTTTTCCTGTTCATTTTCACAATTTTTTCTAACAATTTTTAGCGTGACAATATTTAGCCCACAATAAAGAAAGTAAACTTTAATGTAGACAACAATCAGAGTGACCGACGGCAACTAAGCGACCACACCCACATTATGCCTGCTGTAAGCTTGAAGCCAAATAACTGTTTACATGTAGATGTGTGCGTGTGTGTGTGCGCAGTTGCACGTGCACATTGTGCAAGGCGTGGTCGCTGCCACACTTTCGGATTTAATATGATAATTGAGGGATTTTTGCCGCAACGTTTTCGAGCTGTGGAAAGAACATTTAGCATGACATACCCTTCTCTAACGCAGATTTTACTTAATTTTTTCCGCTCTTTTTTGTTTTTGCTAACACTCGATTTGCATATTACTTAGTGCTACGCATCGAAAAAACCACAACTGTAGACTGTTGTAGTTGTTTTAGCTTTTATAGAAAAAACAAACGTGCTGATCCTTCTGCTCAATGCCGCAACATACAGCTGTTGGCTCTGCTTCGCCTTTTGTGCGTATAATGGAATTTGGCGAAGCATTAAATATACTTTATGCTTTTAAAATTTGCAAATAAAATGTGAGCAACCGAAATTGGTTGTTGGCGGCTGCTTAAGTGCGGAGCTGGCAAGTGGCGGTACGTGAGAGTGGAAAATGTTATAAAATTATATTTTCCAACTAAGTTTATATATTTTAAATGACATATTTATGTTTGCTTTTCTATCTAAACCAATAGCACTTATTGATATTAACATCGAGCGAATCAAAAATGCCACCTAAAATCTCAGAACTGTTTGCATATAAAATAATTTTTGGCTACTTGAGATGTTGTTTTTTCTGTGTCTATTTTATATATTTTCCATATTTATTATTGCTAGCAGTACTGTCAACAGGCTCTTTAGGCAACTTTAATATCAGAAAACCATGTTTTACCGCAAAAATGTTCAAAGGAATTAAGTTGTTTTTTAGGTCCTTTGATAAAGGAAGCTGAACATATTAGAGAAATAACATGTCAAGAGAAAAATAATAATAAAATTTAAAATAATTATAAAACAAAAAAACGTCAACTTACAAGAACTTTATTCCGACCGTTTAGTTTGTATGACAGCTCTATTCTTGGTGAGAGAAGGATGGATGCAAATTTTCAGATCGTTATATTTAAAGATGTGGAATTAGTTCGCATATATACAGGCAGTCGGACCAACGGGATACACAAATTTATATTAAAGCG